ATCACGAAGCAAACGCTCTTCCACTAGGCTACCGTGACCGGTTCGTTGTCTGGAAATATTTATATTCGTGAAAATTGATACTCGATGGTGAAAAGACACAAGAAACACGTCCGAAGTTTGATGATAAAAAGTTGGAGGAATTTTGGTTGCCTGAAAGTGATGGATGGGTCCGATGGATTGAGACATTTGTCCAAACCAGTTAATTTTCAAATTGAACAAAAAACTCTACGATTTCTAGTAATTAAAGGCAAACTTATCGTAAACACGGCGACAGCTTTACATTGAACTACGAAAACGTCGGGGTTGTCCGTCAGCTGTTCCATCCATAGCATGATTACAATTATATTTTCCAAGAGATTTACACATTTATTGTGAGTAGAATTTGAATTTGAAGATAGAATAATAGTTTATCATGAAAATTTTGATAATTTTTACTATGTACACAGGCCCAAAAAATTTTTGAAATATATTATTACATTGTAAATAAAAAAAAAAATTATTTTACTCGCTTATTTTGTTCATTTTAATACATGAAAAGCAAGTAGAGCAAGACATTTTATAATTTATACCGGTAGATATTATTGCGCCGTGTGATTAGGTCACGTATTGACCTCTGACCTCTGACAAACTTCATACAGAATTGAAGATGTTTTCTCTGTATTTTTATATAATGGAGAGATACTACAAATGTATATATTAACATATGTACATACGCATTGTATATATGTTTTGTATACTTTCTGTATATTTTTTGTAACGTGTAATTGCGCTGTTATACGCAGACTAATTCTAAACTTTTCAGGATAATCACAATTATCGACGACGTGCATCTTTAAAAGAAATGATTGAAGGTGAATCTTCATTTAAAAGAATGTTGTAAATTCAAATTTTAGTAAAGTATTTTCATCATTTGATTTGAACTCCTAAAAAACCCATATTACTTCCATTAAACACTTTCAGAGAAATAAATAACATGAACAATTAATTTTGTCTCTGCTCCCTCAAAGAAAATCCAAGAAATCTAACTGAATTAGATGAGAATTATGCAGAAAATAAATGTAATAAGAGCTGCAAATAAAAAAAAAATACATCGTATTTTCTTATTCAAAAAGCAACGCAAATAAGGTAAGGCTAGGTATGGGCTTTTCTACGCAAATGAGCTCATAAGAATGCATTATTTGTGTAGTTTTACACAGAGTAGGTTCATGCTTATTTTCTAACATATACTTTGAATGAAGCAAATGAACATTATAAAGTCATATCATAAGTTCATTGATCTATTCTATTTAAGGTAATGAACAAATCAACAAAACAAGTTGATATTTGTACCACTGACTTTTTGGAACAAGTGAAACATAAAGTGAATGTATCTTAATACTGACATTTATTATTAAAGGGTTAAGTTTAGAATATGGTGTTACAACTTGTTTACTTGTTAATAATAAAACCTTTGGATGATTACAAATAGTCAGAATTTAAACTTTCATTAAAGTAGGCACTGGAATTTACCTCCTCGTTTTGAATGATTGTTTTGATCATGTTGATTTCACACTCTTAAAGTAAAAATATGAAAGGTAAATTTCCTATTTCTTTTAATTTTTAATCAAATCGACTTATTAGAGAGGCCCTTCTTGTGGTTATTGGGTATTTGCATTTCCACAAACAAAAATCACTTAGATGAATCAAAGGCTTTTTTTATTATTACATAATTACTTATGTTGGTAATTTGAAGGTTAAGTAGACTAGATTTGTAGATTCACCTTGTTTTATATTTACATTACACAGCAGAATTATTACATCAGTGAAGAAATATAAAACTTTATTGACTTTATCGACGGACATTTGATCAATGAAAAATTACTTTGTTTTGAAAAATAATAACATGTTAAATATTAAATTCAATGGCAGTACATCATCCAATACATAATGTAGAAGGTTTTCATTATCGAGAACAAAAAAGAACTATTGATCATGTTGATAAAATACAGATTGTCTGTTCTAACGTTTTGAAAAACACGAAAAGCATCATTGTCACGAAAAAGATAATCGATGCCAAAATAAGGAAGGAAATAATTTGAGCATGCAGTAATTGTAAGCGATTAATATTCCTATTATAGTCCCCAGTCATGTTAAGAGATGTTACAAAGATTTATCACTGATAACATTCATATAGATTTGTTTCTCAATATGGCCCAAAATAATAAAAAAAAATAAATGAATAAAGAACTACCAACTCTCGATTCCGCCTACAATTTATTCAATATTGATGATATTTTGTGCATTAAAATTTTTAAAAATGCAAAAAAAGAGTTCATTAGGAATTCATTTATTATTTTAAAACCAGTGTCAAAAAGTTAACTTCCCTTTCTACAACGGTTTTCATAAGGTTGGTTAAATATTTCATCCCTTGGACTTGAGCTTTTAGCCCTTACACAGCACATATTACGCATTTCTACGCATATCTTACTTGAAAAACAAGTATAGTGTGAAAAAAATAACTTCATTAATACATAAAAATATCAGAATAAATCTTGCACCATTAAAAAGAGAGAATAATAACGATAAAATACACAGCAATTATTTTTATTGGTTGTAACAGTTTTTTGCTAGTTTGAGTTAAACTTTGCGCACTATTTGAGCGATTTTGCCATTATAAAAATCAAGACAGGGGTAACACGTTATATGTGAAAATGCTAAATTTTGGAAATTACCTCCCAAACTAAACGCAACCTCCCAAAATACAAAAAAAAATGGGTATGTTTAAAATGTACAACATGCTCGTTATTTTTAACACAGCATTAAAATATCTTTAAATCTATTTAACTATGAAAAAACTTGAATAAAACTCTCTTGAATGAATAGCAATTTTAGCATGATTATGGTGTATTTCGTTGTCATGACACCTGAAATGATATTTTTATAATCATTTTCAGAAACTAAGCAATACCTGGTTTCAGAATGTATACCTTGATATAGAAAAATTACAATAAGTACTCAAAATTGCATTGAAATCTTAATATCAATATGTCTAGAAATTCTTAAAATCTTTGACATGGAAGGGGTTAATACATCACCCACCTGCATTTAAAATATGATTGATTGTATTGTTTAACGTCTCTCTCGAAAATTTTTCACTTATATGAAGTTATCTCCGTATGCCGGCGAAGACCTACAAACTTATAGCAATATTTCGGCACTTAGGGCCATTCAGCAGACCTAAAACGATTTAATTGACAAGAAAAAGTCTCTCAACGTTAATGATATCATTTTTAAGTACAATGTTGGTTAATGATTGATATATCAACAAAATATGAGCTTGAAACGGGGGTGCCTGAAGTCGAGTTAGGTGCCTTGTGGTAAAAATAAGGAGCAGTGCCCCGCATACGAAACAAGTGCCTGAGTTAACAAGTACTTTTGTTATATAAATAAATAAATTTATAATTTAAAAAGGCTATTTTTAATGCAACAAAAGCTCAAATTATCTGCATTCATACGCAGGTAAGCAAATTAATTTTCCCTCTGGCGTTAAATAGAACTGCGGAATCGAGACATGGTGACCTACTTCGTTTCTATATCGAGGAAACGATCAGTCGTATTTTACCGATCTTGGATGTTGTCGTGAATGAAGCAGGATAACCCCCTCGGTCTTGAAACTCCTCGCTTTTATCTTTCAAGAAGGATATGAGATAACGAACAGTATTTAATCTCAAAGCCCATAAAACAATAAAAAATAATAGCAGAGCAAACACGGACCTCCGAAACATCAGAGGTGGGATCAGGTGCCATGGAGGAGTGAGCATTCGCTACTGACCGGTCACACCCACCATGTGCTTCTCGTCATGATCATAATAACAGAAAAATTCATCGTCATTTCAGTGTATAAAGAATGGACTAACAATTAGTTTGAAAAACATAATCAGCATTTGACACAATGATAAATTGTATTTGCTGACAAAGTCATTGTATTGCCTATAGAACTTACGAAATGATATTCTTGTTTCATTAACTTGCTTGTCAATAATTTACCTTGCTTTAGAAATTGTTCATACGTAGAGCTACATGTAGCTCTTGCGTATCAAATTAATTTAGATTAATACACTCGTATGCAGCCGATGAAGGTATATTGTTGCATAAGTAAAGGAAGTTGACGATAGAAAAGTTAAAGTCATCAAGTTTATCATATAGCTTGGTTGATAAATTACTTTTAACGTCTTTTTCAAGTAAAATATCCCAATATGAAACATATGTGCCAAACTCTGTGGTACCTGTTATCTCAAGCTCACCAAGATTTATCGTATCGACATGAGAATGGAATTGACCATTGTTATTCGACAATACGTCGTCGATATATCTATATGTCGAGCTGAAGGCCACAGCAAGTGTTTTCTTCTTTTCATGCATAAGGTTTCAAACATTTCTTGACCTCGGAGGTTATCCTGTAACATACACGAAAATGTGGACTTTATTTCATTAAAAAAACATGTATATACATGAACCTTTATTTGAAAAAAAAAACATTCTGAAAGTTTTTGCCGGTTTCATTTTGAATCTCCAATCTGATTTGGTTTGGTCTTTGGTAAAAACAGATTAACCAATATTGACTCTTGGTCCTTACTGTTGTTTATACCTTCCAGCTGTGTGAAGGCATATTTGTTGTGTATATATAAACAAACACCACCCCCTCTTTTATTCCTATCACGTCGTAATATATGATTGCCTTCAATGTTAATTTCCCCTTCGAAAACCGAATGATCCATTAAAAAGTTAGGTATAAAACAGTGACTTCGATGAAGGGGGTATTCGAAAAAACTTAGATCTTCATCATTTTGGGATGCTTCCATATGAATATGATCTGTGAGAAGAATACTGTTTTCCTACTTAAAAATTTTGAATTTCCAACGTTAATGTGTGCTGTATATATTATTACTAAATATGTGATAAACATAATGTAACATTCCTTTTTCATGTCATCTTCCATTTTATATTCTTTTCTGATTTGTTTTGATTATAACGAAACCCTGTCTATATTTTAATTGTTGCATATAGCTTGTTGAGTTCGTAAAAGAAGACACCTGACAAAAGTAAAAGAGTTTATTCCGAAGAAACCGCAACTCTATTTACAATAAAATAACAAATTTAACAAGAACATCCTGAAAAACGAAAACACAATTAAAAATTTTTAACATTTAAAAACTTTCCCATGTCTTAGTTGAGTTGCGTTAACTTTTGAAATAATTACAATACAAAAATTAAAATAAGAGACATGCATATTGTTAATTAATTAATATTGAACACATTTACATATTGTACTTTGAAAGAAAACAAGTTATAAAATTTAGCAAAAAATATCTAGAAGAAACTGCAACCGATGATTTCAGAGTGCGCACAGATGTAATCCCCAGAAACAATTTCTATGACATTGCGATAACTTGCTGACTTTCTAGGTACCCACGTGATCTGCCTATATATGGTCATCATGTGTTCCTCAATTTTAAATAAAATTAACGTTTGTCGAAATTTCTTTTTTCACATTTTATAAATTTGATATGTCTTGCAATCAATCTTATATATACCGAAAGACAATGAGTTAAACCAATATGAACATCGCTATATATGAATAATACTGACCACGTACAGGTATGAGCCGATATTGAATTCCTTTTTGCTGTAGTGCATGTTCTGAATAATGAGTACCCAATATGTATATGGTGTATTTATGTGGACAATCTCTACCTGATGAATACAACGAAATAAAACCCTACCTCATACTAAACAAACAAGTCACCCAATTACAATAAATGGAAGTTATTACGAAATACTACAAAAAATGAAACACACAGTGTAATACAAAAAAATCTATATTTTAAAAAAAAGCTCCATTTTCAGGAGTGGAATAGGTCATAAAAAAACAAGTAGACCATGAGTCACAACGCACACCTGATTATCTATGGCCCTGCTGTTTTAAGCAGCAGATTATTTCTTTTGTAAAACGTGTACATTGTGGGGGCATCCGAATCCTGAAAAAAATAATTAATTACAACCTGCGGATGCCTCAATATCGGCTTAATATGAACTATATATGAGCTGTTGTTCTTAAGAAATCTTAGGGATTGTTCTCTATGCATTACAAGTACTTTGTACATTGTACAAGTACATTGTGGCCACAGACTAACCAAGGGGTAATGATGTGTAGAACTTTTATTCCAAACTTCCCAAGGATGCTTTCATAAAACTATAACTTATCGTCGCGTTGGTGGTCTTTAGAAGCATATGTGCTTTAATTCTTATTTGAAAAATTTGATTGCCCATTGTGGCCAAATTCTACCAATTTTCGAACAAATCTGATAGGCTATTTTAATGGAATATGCTTCCACAAAAAATAAATCAGTTATAATTAAATTTTTAAAGGGAATTTAAAACAAGTTTGCCTATATAAATCTATGAAAAAATTGATTTTCCATTGTGGTCCCACTCATCCATGGAGGTCATGTTATTGAGCAATTTTGAATCTGTGCTAAATGAGGATCCTTTTATATTTTCTTGCCCAGTGGCTCTTGATCATTTTTTTTTAAAGATGACATTAAATTTTTAATTACTTTAAATTATGTCCGCATTTGAGGAAGAATGACCTTGAATTGAACATCTTTTAATCCTTTTTACCCAGGCATGTATTAAGCGAAGTTTATCAAAAAGTCCTGAGCTTATATAAAGAAGAATTTGAAAACGTAAACGTTTTCAGACAGACTGACAACAGAAGAAATTGTGATCAGATAAAAATGGTTATTTCAGGTTGAGCTTAAAGCAACCAATATTTTGTTGCATAAGAATATTTTGGTTGTTCACAAGAATTCATTATAAAACATTTAAAGAAAAAGCATTCGATATCGGAAAATTTGGATTTTTCATATGGAATGTTAATTAACCAGTTAGCTCTCTTGAGAGTTGTTAATTATATACATGTATCAAAAACTAATTATAACACATATGTCATCGTCAAATCAAGACAGTTCATAGACCATCTTATTTCTGAGAGAGTATGAGAAAAACATGGATAGAGATATATATTTTGATAAATAAAGGATGTGATTTCCAGAGATTCAGGAAAAAATAAAAGAACCTATAGGGTGTAGTCTGTTTTAGAAACTTTTGTGTTAACCATCATGGGTTGATCCGTATTATATAGAATTCGTCTACTTTTCAGAAACAGTGATTCTGTGTTGTATATCTGATAAATTGGAAAACTATATCATTGACGCAACGACTCAATTAAGAAAACCTCTCTTTTTCCACTATTAGTAGAAAAGGGGAAGCATTTGTCATGTATGGTCATTTCAATCATAGAAAATAACTTTTTAAATGTCAGACCTCCTACTTATTTTACAAACATTCAAACATCGGTACTTACAAATGAATACAATTTGCAAATAAACTTAGAATGTCTGAACCTAAGCTCACTCTTAATCCTGTTATATCAAACAAGATATCAAATAATGTCCCATTGCCACAAACCACGACAAAATGTGTGACCCTCTTTCATTCTGGTAGGAGAGAGCAGAATATGCTGAATCAAATCGTGGCATGAGTAGATGATCATGTCCGTAAACTATGTTTCGATTTCATAATCTCATTCTCAAAGGAACCGGTGTAAATGGGTAAGGAAATAATGGTGAAGAAATTACTAAAAAAATAAGTTGTAAAAATACTTATGTATCAAAAGATACTAATAAGTTGTGCTCATAAATTAATAATTAAAATATGTAAAAATTTGCTACTGAGACCATCATGGCAAAGAATCTAATGTGAAATTTGTATGTACATCTTTAACTTATATTTGCTTACCTGTAACGAGAAACTGTAATTTATGAATATGGTATTGCTCCAATAAAATCACAAGACGGTATCAAAACTGAAGGTGGTGCATTCTAAGATTTCACATTCACTTAAGCTTTTCAAAGAATTCAAAGTGATTGATATAATTTCACATTTAATTTTCAGTTTTAATTTCAATTTAAAGATAGTAGCTTATTTACTTATGTTCCTGAAAATGATTCTGAAAAGATGCGTCGCAAAAATATATATGTACAAAGATCGTCACAAATAAACATGAAAATATACAATTCAATGAAAGACAAAAAGATCCACCACCTTTTATTCCGATGCAAAACCGTGATCCCAACCCAAATTCCAGATTTGATTGAAAGTGTATAAAGGTATTTAAAGATGCTTTCGTGTGAAGGTAAATGTTAACGCAAATACAATACTAATACATGTATTGCTGAGACTGGACTTTCTTGTTTTCACGAGCAATCTCAAAAACAATCTATCTTCTGGTAGAACTGTTGATCATGAGATAAAAATAATCTAAACCTTAATTAATTTGAAGTTTAAAAAAAAACCCTGTCCATTGATCACCTTTTCCTTAATAAAATAAGTATTTTTTCCAATGCTTTATTGAGGTCCCTTTTATTTTGGATTGAAAATCTTTGAGCTTCACTTTCAGTGCTTCAAGGACAGATGTGATTGGAGTGGCATATGAAAAACCGCCACCCTCACCAACGACCATGCCTATACATTTTAAATTATGTAGATCCTTAAACTGGAAAACCAGAGCACCGGAGTCTCCTTTTTTAGAAAATCGAGTGCCATCTCTACCGCGTATTGCAAGTTGTGACATATACATGGTATAAAAGCGTTGACCTGTGGGAGATATATTTCTTAGTCTGACATAGGAATCGCTTTCTTCCACTCCACCAAGAGTTAATCCAGACTCCATGCCACATTTCAAAGCTTTCTCATTCGGACGATCTTGTGCTTCTTCCATAGAGCGCATTTTACCACAACAAACTCGTGGAATCCTGCTTCTAGATAATCCTATAATTATAGTATATAGAAGAGGGCATATTACAAATGTTTTACATAGAATTTTTTGCATTGTTTTAAACACGTGATTACTGTTTGTGAATCTTGTTTTCTTTTATCCTAAAGAATATATTAAAAATGATTTACATTGCATGTCAAATTGTGGAACTTTGGGGGCTTTTCACAGATTAAGATACTTTATTATTCACAGTTAGGAATGATAATCAAGCAGGTACTCTGATGTTTACATCAAAAGGTGCATTGGTTTCTGATTGACAATATCTTTGTGGCTTTTGGAATGCAGGTCTTCCAACAATATATTGCCATCGGTACTAATTGCAGCTCGTTACTAGCAGGCCTATTTTGTATTCATATGAAACAGATTTTGTACAATATTTATGTGCGAAAAGAAAACACTTACTGTATCCTTTAAGGTCATACGCAACGTAGTTTGAACTTTTTGGGGTTCTCCCCTGGAGTTGAAGAGTTCCTCTAAATGAAGGACCTGTGTGCAGTATTTTTAATGTCTATAAATGGATTTGTACACTTCTTCTAAAACAATTTTTGAAGAAAAAAAAAATCTGAAATCTATGTTTTATAATTTTTGTACATTTTTATTTGAATAATGCAAAAATTTTCAAAATTCGATATCTTTTCAAAACGTCTGGTAAGGCATTCTGATTTTTTGTCTATGAACAAGTAATTATATTATAAGTTTAAATTTTGAATATCTTGGAAATCTATCAGTAGGTTAGGTACGTTGCGTATGTCCTTAACTCAACATTTAGATATATCGTATTGCTTATATTTTGTATCAAGTTTTGTCCTTCGAGCACATCTTCACCGTATACAACGGGTAACGCGAAGGGGTCGCTAAAAAGTATTGGGGAGTCGTTTTCAAAGTATAGGGGAGAAGTTTTCACCGCTTCGGTGTTAGAAGAAATGTGGGTCACTTCTTTTTTCAGTATTTTTTAAGATGTATTTACACAATAAATATACCGGTAGCCCACGGAAGGTAGCAATAGTTAAGCTTTGTCTCGGTCATTTGTCCATCTAGCATTCTCAAACACTTCGTATCAATTCGACAGATTTCATATTTACGTTGATCGAGTGGTCAAAATGTGCATGATTTGCATTATTTACGACTTGTGTAAGGATTCCAACAATTAAAGCTGCAAAAGCAAACGTTTATCTTTAATATGCATCAATTAAAACTTGTCTAAATTTTATCATGTTTATAAAATATAATAATTTAGACATTTTCTCTTCACAGAGTGATCTTTGTAAGCATCTTGATTTCCTTGCAAAAAATTCTGGCCGACAGGACAGGTAACAATAGCCACGTATAGGTCAATCACGGCAGAGCTGTCCATTGTGTAAGGCTAATTGTAATAAGACAGGGCAGATTCCTTAATTGTGCACCAGGATGTACATATGTAACGTACAGAAGGGTTACTGTAACAGTTTTTTTTTTACATGTATGTATTTCTGCACGGAAAACACATCATGGTGTGTATATTCTGCAAGTATTTTATAGTTTTGATTATTATACTTTTCAAATTTGTTATATAAATTCGCCTTATCAGGCAATCATCACTGACTTACCTCTGTTTGCGTTCATGTGTGACTTTATCGAGAGTGCAATCTTATCATTTTGAGACTTTCCGTTAGAGGTCGGAAAAACAACCTTCAATTTATTAAATTCGTCGGATGCTTAAAAATTATACTGTTATAAATTTAAATTTATGCTTATCCTGTTTATTATGTTTCCCAAACGAAGTTGGGAAACATATTGTTTTTACTCTGTTTCTTGTTATTATTAAGGTCTTCCGTCTTCACGGAAGACCTTATAGTGATTCTACTGTTTATTATTATTATTAGTATTATTATTATTATTATTATTATTATTATTATTATTATTATTATTATTATCATTAAGGTCTTCCGTCTTCACGGAAGACCTTATAGTTATTCTACTGTTTCTTATTATTATTCTTTTTATTTTTTTTCCAAATTTTGTGCACGCGATTTCTCGAAGACTACTGGATGGAATTACATGAAATTTTCAGAAAAGATGCGTTGCAACATGAACTTGATCTATCTGAGCGATTTTTTGAAAATTTCAATCTGGTGCCAAGTTACGGGACATTTCCTGATTTTGAAATGACATTTTGTCCACGATTAAACTCAAAAATGGTAAAAGATATCAACATGAAACTTTCAGGTATTATAGATCATGATAGATACTATCCAGGACGCGACCTCTCGTTCGTCGTCAGCACTTCCTGTCGTAAGGAGAAGCGAATTGAAAAAAGCGTATTTTCTAACTTTTTTATTTTTCAATATTTTTTATTCATTTTTGGAATATTAATAGAGACCTTTTTGTTGAAGCTTACTATATAATTTGTTTGAATATCTATTAATCTGAACTCTATATAATAATATTTGAAAATCTGAAGCGGGTCCAAGATGGCGGCTGTCTCTGTCAACTCCGCCATTTCGCGAGTAGGGGCTTATTGAGGCAGCTAAACGTTTGATTAAATGATTCTGACATAAGGATACATGAAATGTTATAAACTACTTGGACTTTCACGTAATAGTACAGTACCGACCGGACACAACCTAACACCAGAGCGAACCCGGAGCGGACCCCGGGTTCGCTTCCCGGGTTCGCTCGGGGTCCACTTCGGGTTCGCTTTCAGAAATTTTGGGACCGCTTTGGGTGCGCTCCGGGTTCGCTCCGCGTTCGCTCGGGGTCAGCTCGGGGTCCGCTAGAGCGAACCCGGCGTTCGCTTCCTGGGACCGCTTTACGCACTGATGCGTGAAGCGGACCCCGCTTTAATCTCACCGCCAGTTAGCCCCGCCCCTTGTTTATTCCAATACAGTAATGGTATTGTGGATCGATCATTGTTGTTTTTGCGACGATGCTGACATGTACAATGTACATGTAAAGAGTGATATAATGGAGAGCAACTAAAATCCAACTGTACATTCGACGAAGATTTATATGTACATGAATAATTGATTTCATTGAACGGCGGTTTATAAAGCATTTATTATTCTTAAGTTATAACGAGAAAACAAAAAAAGAAGAAGAAGGAAAGACTGTTGAATTGATTTTCAGTGTATCGAATGGTGTACAAGTGAAACTGACGAAAGAAATCTAAACTAAATACCTTTAAATTCATGGTTTATATAGCATGTGTAGTTTAAAAATACATTTGTTCGCATCTATAAATTACATGTAACCTTTTATACATCTGATATATTTAGATTTCATTCATAGTAGTTACACATAAAAAAAGTTCGTAATAAATAATTACCGGACATTTTCTAAAGAAAATTACACTGTATATAAGATTTTTTTCACGGTCAGAATTTTGAAGCGAGTATGATTTTCATCAGAATAAAGAAAAAGACAAATAATGATTGTTCTCCCGACCCGATAAGAATATATTAATATAGGCCCCCTATTTCACACACACACTGTCTTTATAAAATTCTAATTATTTAATTATTTTATTTATGATTTCTCAATTTACGTGTTACATTAAATTACTCAAAATTTACATCAAAATTATTGATCTTCTTAATCATGTTAATCTTCTTGATCTTCTTGGGCATGAAAAAAATGCGTGTATATGGAAATCTTTCTTCTGGATGCACAGATTGAAGTCATTCCGCCCTAATGGTATTAACAAACTGAATGACTTCACCAGAATGAACGTGAATTTAACGCAATTCCTGATGATACATGAAAAGATTATTCCTTCAATTTAGTGTAACTCTACAGTTAGTTTGCGTTACCAACTCTCGAACAACCCACATAACTGCGTATTGCTTACGCCTTTATCAATAATTTTTTTCCCAATAATAAGTCCAAAAACATTTCAATATTTATAATAGATCATAATTCATATGTTAAAATATCCCTTCTATATTATATTTCACTGATTATTCTTTGTCAAGTATAGTTACGCCATTTTGAGAGAATGAAACAATGTACGATTTACTAAATGTCGAGATTAATTAGCATAATTAATTCGTTCAATTATGGAAATCGCACTTCACCTGAGTTTACCCCGATAAACCAGACGTATTTCATAGCGGTCCGGATTTCTTTCTTTAATAGTGTATATTCATGTATTCATGTATAATTCTACGTGGAAAATCAAAACATAATAATTAATTGCCTTAATAAAAAAAGAAAATAAATATATAAATATGCAACCCGGAGGATTAAAATAAATAAATATTAAATAATATTTTTATAATCATAATAGATTTACACAGCACATTCACACGTTTTGCTTGTATGCTTGCATTTATATTGAATTAAATCAACACGTTCGATCTTATATCCCAATCGTCGGATTAATATGCTATTTTGATTGGTTGATGCGCTGATTGGTTAATCGCTAATCCTGATTGACAGCTCTGTATGAAATACCGAACCTGCGTTCGCTCTCTGGGACCGCTACTGAATTTGGAGTTCGCTGTCTGGGTCCGCTTCGGGTTCGCTCGGGGTCCGCTTTGGGTCCGCTCCGGGTTCGCTCGGGGTCAGCCCTAGCGGACCCCGAGCGAACTCGGAGCGGACCCAGAGAGCGAACCCGGGGTCCGCTCCGGGTTCGCTTTCTGTTAGGTTGTGTCCGGTCGGTACTGTATGTTGCAATTCATTGTCAAACTTGATTTCCGTTTCACTGCTTTAGTGTAACTTGGCTGGATACAATATGTAATGCGTACAATGTTTTAAATATATGTTCTTAACGTGGAAATAAAATAAAGGCGATAAGAACGTTTTATTTGTTCAATTTCATTTAAGCCATCACACCTATTTAATAGATCAGTCCAAAGAAAAGGCGTGAATATTTACTCGTGGCGTTGGGTGCGAAATTATGAATAGTAACCGCCATTTGTAATACTTAGAAAGGAGTCATGTTGCAAAAGTATACAAAAGTATATTAAAAGCAGTACTCCTAATAGCTTAATGGTTTGTGCGTTGGGGACAAAAG